ATCTATCTATCTATCTATCTATCTATCTATCTACCTTTTGTCTACCATCTATATATCTATCATCTTACCTATTTTTATCAAATATTCATCATCTAACTAGCTTTAATTGATTGGTTGATTGATTTATAAATCCATTCATCTGCACAGTCCATGGAATGTTCAGCACTTCCTTTTAGTTTTTTCCAAATTATAACTTATCTTTTTTTCTAGCACTTTTGTGATCTGAACAGCAGCTACCTCTCTAAATGCCTCTCTGTTCACACTGATGTCATCTTGGGAGATAAGACACATCTTCCTACACTATTTTAAGACCTTTTGTTTTCTGATACTGCTGAGTCATCATTCCTAACACTTCTTGCCAGGATGTTTCAACAAACATGTCTTAAGTTGCTCTAGAGATTTTCATCTTCCATAATGTACTATACTTTATGTATATTGTCATTTTTCTAATTCTAAAGTATTTAAAATTCTAAAGTATTAATTCTAAAGTATTTAGTTCTAGTGTCTAAAACCCAGTGTCTGATATACAGAAGAGAAATTAAAAGTATTTGTGAAATAAATTGCTAAATTTATTACTTACAAATTCATAATGTTACCAGATATTGTACTGATAGTCTTTGTTGGAGATGTTTGTGGGTTCTGAATTAATAATAAGCAAGAAGCCTAAACACTTTATATCTTTTCTGAGTTAAATTTAGCTTTAATATTAAGAGAAGGCAAACATTTTTTCCTAAGTGGTCTTATTTCCTTCTTCATTGACATCCACTTTGGAATACCTATTGTTTTGTGAACTTTGCTCTTGTAGAATCCATTGTTTGGCAGTACATCAGCATGGAATCCCGTACCGTTAGACAAAAGGACTCAAAGGAATTTGGATAACTGCATTTCTTTTCAACACTTGGCAACAGGATTCCCATGAGTTATCTGATCTCAAGATGCCTCATACATGTACTCTCCCCCACCCATTGAACCCAGACTAGAGAACTTTGCTTGGCAAACACTGCCCCACTGTACCTTGGGTCTAAAACCTCAGCCCCACCTTTTTCTTGCTGTGACCTCTCTGATGATCAGCCTTGTCCCTGCTGTTCGCTTTGCATACGGAGTGCTAGAGGAAATGAAGAGAGGCAAAGTGACTAAAGTCATCTACTCCTTGTCACCCACTTCTATGCAAACATCTGGTGAATGATCCACGGGCAGTTCTGCTGCCTGGAAAGGTTTCCATTGTTTTCTATAGAGTCCTCTGAAGACCTGTAGAGGCGAAACCACAGTGATGACATCAATGTCTGCTTCAGCTTTCATCCGAGTCATGTGCCATCATCATTCTTTGACATCTAGGGATACCCTAGGGAATTGACCAATAAAGAATTTACTAGTATTTGCTAGATTAAGTTCAGAAATTACTATGCATTCTTGGAACTTGGTATTTACACTTTTTTCATATTTGAGTATATGGTCCTTTTTGCTGTGTTATTAGGCTGTAATCGCCATTAGAGATTGATTCAGTTTTTTTTTTTCACCTTTTTTTCCTGAAATACCTAGAACTTTTCCTGGATGTATTGAACCCTTCATATATGTTTTTTTTTTCTATATGTGAGACAGAATCTTTTCTGCCCCCAAAGGGCTGAGATTACAAGTGTGAGCCATCATGTTTCTTAAAAGAATTAAAATGGGCTGGGTGGTGGTGACATGGCTGGACGGTGGTGGAATATGCCTTAAATTCCAGTACTAGGGAAGCAGAGGCAGGTGGATCTCCATGAGTTTGAGACAAGCCTGGCCTACATAGTGAGTTCCAGGACTGGCTCCATAGCTTCTGAGAAACCCTGTCTCGAAAAACAAAACAACAGTAAAAAGAATTGTAATGTCTGTACCTCCTGCTCATGGCCACTTAGCCTCCCTCACAACTACCTAATTAGAATTGCTGATTTCCCTTTGTACAGAGAAATAATATAAAAGACCCATATTCCTGATTTCAGAGACTGTCAAAACATATCTTAAGGAACTGAAGAGAAATCTCAGTCAGCAAAACACTCATCTTGCAAGCATGATCCATGTTTGACCCTTAGAACCCATGTGAAAATGCTAGTCATGGTGACCTGCTTGTAACCCCATTTCTATACAAATCATGGCAGGCAGACAGGTCAGGGTCCTTTCTGTCCATCCTCCTTAGCCTACTCGGCAGGCTTCAGGCCAGTAAGAAACTCTCCCTTTCTGAAAAACTTCATGTCTAATGCCTGAGGCCTGAGAAACAAAACCTGATGCTGTCTTCGGGCAGCCCCACCCCACCCACAACGCGGTGTCTTACCTCAACCACGATTTGAGATGTCAAGAAACATGAACTTTTTATTATTTCTCAAGCTCTAGGGAAATCTGATTTTATATCTTCAGCATGTCTGGTATTTGACTTTTAACCGTTAATTCCTCATTGCTATAAATGTTTACAGAGAAATATTTTATATCAAGTATTAATTTACCTAATTAAACCTTCCAGTAAAATTTCCCCATTAATCTCCAAAATCTGTTGGAATGGTTTGACACTGGACTAAATTCAACTGTTGAATGTTACAAAAGAAAGCAGGGAAGGTGTTTCTGGAGAGTGACCTCTGGAGAAAATACAGCTGAACCTAAAGAGTGAAGGGTAGATTGAGGTTCTTTATCAGAAGGACAGTAGAGCACAGTGTCCTTGGTAAAGTTCAAAGGTCCCAAGTACATGAAAAACTTGGTATAGTATAGTTTGGAAAGTCAACTGTAAGCCAACAACTCTGATAACAATAAGCAAAGAGGAAATTTCAAAGCTAGACACAGGCAGAAACTACGCTGTGTGAATCTGACATTAGACTTGGAAACAACGAAGTGCCCCTTTAATAAAGGAGTGGATAGGGTCAGAACTGGCAGGAGATGTTGTGTAAGCTTGCTGGCTTCAACGAGAAGGACCAGGGATAGTTTGGGGTCTTATTGAAATTCTTGTGAGCAGCCAGGGTGAACTGTAGCTACTATGGTATATGTTGAGATAAGGGAGTCTGAGCAACACGAGATCTAAGGGATGGAATTCTAGAATTTACCAAAGAGTTGACTCTGGAATATAAAGGGAAGGGTGGAGTAAGAAGCCCTTCTGCCTTTGGGCTAATGCAATCAGTATCAATGGCGGAGGAGGGGCATATACAACAAGGCAGAAAACAGCTGGATGCAATGTGGTGTAGGCAGTCGCCTGCTTTGTGTGATAACTGAACTTGTGAGCATTCCCATATGTTCATTGAAATGTTCAGGATTTGAACCTAAAGGGGTTTGTAGGTCATCCTCCCAGGCCATATCTTCCCCAAAAGTGCAGAAGCATGGTAATTCTGTCCCAGTCTGTTTCTAGAAGGACGTCTCTAGCTCTTACCCTGGAGAGTTCCTTATGGATGTCTCCCCATACTCCTAAAACAAACTGCTTCCTATTTCAGGATTGGCTGAGAGTTCTCAGGCTCAGTGGTTAAAACCACTGCTTGTTCTTCCAGAGGTCCTGAGTTCAATTTCCAGCAACCACATGGTGGCTCAAAACCATCTGTAATGAGATCTGGTGCCCTCTTGAGGAAGAGACCTAGTCAGTTGTCTTCAAGTTAGGCCATGAAACCCAAAACGGACAAGTTTAACAAGTTTGCCATATATGGACTGCCCATGTATGCTTTCAATAAAAAAATTTTAGAACTAACATTGAGCTCAAAGAATAATAGCAAGCATGTCATTGGAAGAAATTCTTCTGGAACAATCTGCAGTACAAGATTGAGAAAGAGCTAAGAGATGTGGTTGAGCTTTGGAATAATAAGGAACCATAGTGTGTGATAACAACAGAACCGCTGTTATGCAGGAAAGAGCTGTGTGCAAGCTGAAAATATGGGGCACAGACACCTGAAATCCCAAAGAGTAATGCCTTCTTTAAAGAAGTGTAGGTGGCAGATTTCATGATAAGGAGGCAGAAAAGAGCCTCCTTTCCTGGGAAGAAAGGGAAGGAGGGAGAGGAGATGTCGGCAGTGTTTTATATATTATATTTATGTGTGTTCATGAGGTGTAGTTGAGTTCCACACGTTTCTTTTGCATTTCTTAGATACAGATTATCTTAGATTCTACGATAGACAAAAAGACAACCTGGGAGCAATGCTGGCTCTGCTAAATTCTTTAATCACAGAATAAAGCCTTTCCTCCTGATCCTGCCTCTTCCCCAATTAGATCTAAATGAGCCTGCACTAGAGGACCTCCTTAATGTCTGTCTCAGATACTCTTGCAAAGACAATTTTCACTGAGTCTTTTAAGATAGGTGTTCTTCTAAAACAGATATCTGTGGATTAAATGCCACACTTTAAGTATAATTTGACAATCTCGAAGTTGCATGTTGCTCATATTAATTCTGTTGTAGCTAAAGTCCCTTCCAGCAAGCTCTCAAAAGTATATTTTTAAATATTCTGGAATAAACAGTTTCTTAGAAAAAAATATAACATACAACATTTTCTTTGAAATAAAGTATTATCACCCAGTGAAGTGAAAATGCGCAGTAGTATGAGTAACGATACTAAACTACCTCCAGCTACTTGTAGCTTAATTTTTTTGTGTCTCTGATAGCTTAGCTAGAAGATATTAGTTCTATATTGAAATGTTAAGTAATAGGATCTTGAGATAAGGGTAGGACGGCAGAGTTGGAAGGTGCAGCCACATATGGGGGTGGAGTGGATGCTGAGTTTCCAAGCCAGTGAGAAGACTGGGTGGATTGTTTAGGTTGTGGGGAGATTAATATAAGCAAGGACAGTAAATGCAAGATGAACGACTCTGGGAAATGATTAGTTTGTAGGTGCTTCTCTGTGCTGAGAGTACATTCGCCCAGGATGCTCTGACACTCGTTTTTGTCTAGGATTACTGCAGGGAGCAGAGAGGACAGAGCGTGCCGTTCCGCTCAGCTGGGGATAGGTGACTGTCAGTGATCAGTGAGGATAAGAACATAGCGAAAACATTAAAACTCCCAGTGATGAGTCACACCTTGTCTGGCCAAGAACTGCTCCAGGACCCTCATACAGATGAGGGGAGAATTTAATATCTGATTCCCGTGCTTCTTAAACAGGAGTGCTAATGATTTATTATGATACTTAATTTTCTTCTTTTTTCATGTGGGAGATGAAGAAACAGAACCGAGAAGCCTTTTAAAACAGTTCTAGATGACTCTGGCAGAGAAGTTTGACACACACACCTCTTTCCATAGATCTCCATTTCCAGCCAGGCGGAGCCCTGCCAGTTACCAGCAGACCCAGACTGTCCTGGCAATCAGTGCATGTGGCAAGTGATCGTGAGCCATGCTTCGTGCAGCAAAGCATTAGCTTTGCCATCTGGCAAAAGTTAATTCTGCCAGGACAAGAGTCTGCCCTGCTCCACTGGCATAAAGGCATTTTTCATTTCCTTCCCATGTCTCTGGGGCAGCCTTCCCTAGGGAGAGAAGCTCTAAAGCCAAAGGAAGAAAAGAACTTAAGGCACCTTCTTGTCCCTCTGCAGGTTTGTCTTCGAGATAGTCTCAGAGGCTGCTGGTTTGGGTAAGCCTTCATAAAATCACAATGCTTAATCTCATCTGGGTTATCAACTCTGTTATGCATTACAAAGCCTCCAATCAAGGCAGTGGGAACCAGGGTTTCTATTTAATACCAAGAGAAATGGTGGAAGTCAGCGATTGATATTAACACAATGATGGGAAAAAATGTCCAGAGGTGCTGCTCACATATCTCATTTTACAGCATCTTACAAATTCAATAGAAAAGACTCCACCACAACACCGCTCCACACTGCTCGTTATTGTTCTCCAGAATTCCTCAAGCTCTACATGCAAACTTCACAATAAAAAGGCTCTATAAATACAGACCAACGGTGCGCACAACTGTTGTTTTCCTTTCGAAAACAAAGGCATACCTGTTAGTCATGAGTCGTATAATATCACTGAAACAGGTTCTTTGCTAAATGTGTATATTCACGTTTAAAAAATAAAGTCTAAATAAATGATCTGTTATTGGGCATTAGAAAATATTTGCAACTAAGTGAGAAAAGAATGTGAACAATAGCCATTGAATCACCACTGCCTGTGTGCCCTGAGATTTTTATGGAAGCTATGCTTTGCCCAACATGTGTTCTGTCTTATTTGCAAAAGCATTCTGGGGGAAATAATATTTTCTTCCAAAGGTCCCATTCGTTCTAAATTTTTCTGATGTATATTTGTCCATTTTTTTATGTTATCACTGGCAATTTTCGAATAAGTACATTTTAAAAAGACTTTAAATGGTAGGATATCATTACCATACCATCTCCCCACTGCTGACCATGCCAAATGAACAAACAGATAAAACTCAAACACACAAAATATGAATCACCCAGTCCTTGAAGAAAGATTTCAAACTAGTTTAGAAAAAAAATACTTCTGGTTTCATTCATACGGGAACAAGAATCAATCTATAATATTAAAAACACTATATCATTCTGTAATGGAAAGAAATACTAAATGAATAGCTTTTTGCTGAATAATTTAATACTAAAATACCTAGTCGTTACCTGTTTAGTTTAACAGTCTGAATTTTAAATGATTCAAATGTTGATGGTGAGACTGAATGAGGAAGGATGTTGTTGAGAAGACTGCAGAGGTCACCTCACAGGTGAAAGAGCTGCTCTTCCAGAGGACCTGAGCTTGGGTCACAGCTCACAGTTGCCTGCAGATACCACTTCAGGGCACCTTCTGCCCATCAGGACTTCTTGAGCATCTATGCATACATTGCACATGTGCTCAGACAGACACATGTAAACAAAAAATAAAAATTTTAAAAGAGCATTGTTAGTGTTATTTTTAAAACCATTTGTGAGAAGTCTGAATGTTTTCAAAAATTACGCTTTCACAAAATTTATTTTCAAAGTATTACACAGAATTCCTTAAAAATTGTTGAGACATAAAAGTTGAAACCCAATTAAGGGAAGCCTGATCTATTTGTTGAGTTCCAGGACAGTCAGAAGGAGACAGTGAAACCCTGTCGGGAAAACTCAAAACAAACAAACAAACAAAAAATGAAACTCAAACTGAAATATTGACAGTGGCAATTTAAAATACAATTTATATATTCTGTTTTATACAAGGCTGTAGAATGTTTTATACTACTACATTTTGCTAATTATCATTATTAAAAAACTAGTGTAGTATCATTAATATGTGAGATATTCAGTGTAGCTGAATAATAAAGGATACATTTTTAAAGTGAGCTTTCTTGTCTGAGTCTGCAAAGACATGAGCTTGTATTTTATTTGCGTGTTTCAAGATGATTATTGAATCAACTTTCTTAGATAATAACTGCATTCTCTCAGATCTGCTCCCAGTTACCAATATTCACTAAAGAATGAAAAAACTATCAAAAGAGAAAGATTTAACTTTTCAAGTATACTAAAATAATTAAGTGTTTAGAATAGAAACATATTATAAACATATTATAAAACATTTGTCTTAATTGATACAGTTTCCACTCAAGAGCCACGACTTTATGTTTGTTGGCTCTTTCATAAACCCACACTTACTTTTAAAACTTCACCATTTTAATGTACGAAAACTGATGGAGAAAGGATTGATCCGACGAGTTTTTCCACTAGACACTATAAAACTCCACCGTAGCACTGCGCAGGCTGGGAATGTGCGACTGAAGCTCACAACTAAACAGTGCCAGATTTTACTTTGAAAAGTGGACTGTGTCTATAGGGTGTGAACCATCTGTGTGTAAAACCAGCCCCACAGACAAACCAGGCTGTTCCTAGTGGCTCCATTGGATGGGAGGAGTACAAACGTCAAAATTTCAGGGGGGTCATAATACACGTGATGGGGACGTAAAGCAAGAAAGGGCAGGAAGAGCAAGCATAGAAAGGGATGAGCAGGCTGAAGCCTATGATGCTGCCTGTGCGCCGTCCCGCCGGGTGCTGCCTCCTTCCTCCGTCCTGCAGGAACCTGTCTGCACAGGAGAGTCTGTGGAGCGATCTTGCTGGAAATAGTAGATAGCTGATTAAATTATTTATCTTGCATTAAATCCTCAGTGATTTTTTTTTAGATCTTGTTCTCTGCAGAATAAATAAAAATATCTTTCTATAAATTCAATAAAGATTATCTTCATAAGCAAAACAATACACTGTTTAGAAAGCGCTACGGTAATAGCCCTTCTCTGTTGAAAGAGGAGAGCTGACAAACATTTGAGAGAGCTGATTCACCCCTCATGGTTCTTGCCTAGAAACACTCTGAAGATGTTTGTTTTTATTCTAGGTATAATTCCCACAAGGAAAACATTATTCTTTACTGTTTCCATTTTACAGTGGTTTATTTCAATAAACTCCCAATGGTGCCCGGGGATGTCGTTGCTCTATGGTAGAGTGTTTTCCTAGCATGTGTAGAGTTTTAGTTCTTTACCTAATTCCTAACACTGAAACACACAGAGGGGGATGGGGGGATGCTGGAGATGACACACTAAAACAACAACAAGACCCCAAGCAACTACGAATCTTCATTGAACAATACGATCTTTAATGAATAACCCTGCAAAGTTGAGGTATTTATGGAAGACTCTATTTATGCAGATACAGGGGGGCATAATACGCTATTTTCCCCTAAGGACAATGGTTTAAAAATCCGTGTTTCAAACGGCAGGGGCAAAGGAGTCCTCAACTACGGAGTTCTACATAATTCATGGATGTGTTTGGAACTAGCATTTCCACACTGAAGTCAGAGGCAGCTGCTGAGAAAAATGGTTTTTCTCAAAGGGAGCCACTGCAGCAGCAGTCCTATTGTCACAGGTCAGTTCTGACCATTGTGTACCATGACAATGCAATGCTTGTGTACGTATATTGGTTTGGGAAAGAAAGCTGAGAAGACTTAGAGCATACACCACCACAAATCTAGACATTGTGTGTGGCTTGGTAGCAAGAAACAGTGCCCCACTGGAAGGATTGAGTAGACCATCAGATACACTCTTAAAGAGATTGTTAATCGGCACATATTAGTTGCACAATTGCATGGGCTTCAAAATAGCTGAAGGAAATGATGAACTTTTGAGGTGATAATTTTGAGATCTTAAACATTAAAGGAGGCAGAGAATTAGGCAGAGATTCCCTAATTCACAAGGGAAGTACAACACAAAACAAGTTATCGCCCGTCCTGGCCCGTTTTACGTTCACAGTGTTTATGGAGATGTAGGAGCAGGAAAGGAGTTCTTGGCAATAAATATGAACCTCAGAAGCATCCAGGGAGGTTGCTCGGCATCTTCTGGTTGGATGATGAAGCAGAAGAGCGTTGCCTGTGGTTCAGAATGTCATGCTAGAAGTGTAAAGCTGAAAATGAGCCCCGTGAAAGACCTACTAGGAAACTACTCATGTGAAGGAAGCTATTCTCAATCACTTTGGGAATAAATCACGGGAGGAGTACTCACATTGCGTTTGACTTCACACTGGCACCTTTTCATGGCAGGAATCACTTGCACCCCTGGCCACAGTGATACTGCTTACATTAACACTGGATTTAGGCTTTAAAAAGAAAAAAAATAACTTAGATTCCCTTTCTATTTGTAAAAAATAATAAGAATAAACTAAATGTTTAAGAAAATAATTTAGTAATATCTTAGACAAAGCAATTTTCTTTTTCTTTGAGACAGGGTTTCTCTGTGTATTGTCCAGGAACTTCCTCTGTAGACAAGGCTGGCGTCGAACCAAGATCTACCCTGTCTCCCACCCCTCGGCTTAAGTAATATATTCTTAAAAGTAACTTACACTAAACTTTTAAGGTTATTTAAGTTAACTTATTTTAACCCATGGTAAATTAATCCTATAGTTAGTTAGAAAAATAACTGTTTCTAAACTTTAATAATTATTAGCATACTATTTTACAAAGTTCTGTGAAAATTTCCAAATTTTTAAATCAATCTATCTATTCAAACAGGAAGGCAGAAAGAGTACCAACTGAAAATACTTTTACATATTGAGAAACCTAAAATATTTCATATTATTGAATAATAAAGCAGAGTATATAGCAATTGTTTCTAATCAGGGTTAAGACAAGGTCCTTTTATTTAGTCAAGACTACATTTTAAGATGCACATACAGTGAAAGCAGATAAATCACAGGTGAATCTTGATTATCATCTGGGTGACAGTCACCTGAAATGAAAATTCTTAATCTGTACTTTTGTAATGTCAACGATATGCCTTGAAATTTTGTAGAATAATATTTTCGGTAACCATCCCTTAATTCTTCATTTCTGTGACTTCTAGTTGCTAGTTGAATATTATTAAGAATGTTCTCCATTTACTTGCATGTCCAGCAGGCACTAGGTTCTATCCTACAAGCTGGATGAACACAGTCAAATGAAAGTCCCCTTTCCCATTAAATGCATCATCTATCTCTTAGGTCAAGATTTTTAGGGTTTGAATGATTTTCTGACAGCAAATGGGTCAGAAAGAGAACAATTTTTACCAGTGCATTTTATTAAATAAAATTTTCTCCATTCTCTCCCAGACAAAAAAAGTTAAGCCTGCCACAGTCAGCCCATTGAAAAGCTCTTTAAAAGCAGATGTCTATGTCTATGTCCTTGTGGGTATCTGTGAGGGCAGGTGCCTAAGAGGCCAGAAAGGGGCATCAAATTCCATTCAGTTGGAGTTAAGAGACTGAGTTGCCCAGTGCATGCTGGGAACTGAACTCAGGTCCTCCACAAGAGCAGCAGAGCTCTGAACCAGACAGCCATTCTCATGCCCCAAAGATCTTCTCATTTTTAATTTAATTTTTTATTTTTTTAGAAACGTGTGAATACTGAACAGACTTACATGAATACTTGACAGACTTCTTAATTCATGCTGAGAGTTATTTCTCCATACTACCATCCTGTAACATGGATCTCTGTGTATACAAAAATTGCAGATTAGTAGCATTCAAGCGAGAACTTTTAAAACATCCTTCTAAAATTGTTATTTTTTTCTTCCATTTTTTTGATAATTATCAAAGGCTTTGTTTTCTGTTTTTCTTTGTTGTTGTTGTTCTTTAATTTGGTAGTACTTCAATATCCCAACCTTTGTGTGGTTGATTCAAATTAAGCCTTCCATGAAATTATCATTTTAAGCCATGCCAAACCGTGCCCACTACTGAGTTGCAGTTCATGGGTAAAAGCCACCATGTGCTGAACTCAGTATGGGTGAACTGCAAAGATGTGGTCTGATCCTGTCTTGTCTGAACATGTTAGCTTTCCCGTCTGACAGCAGCCTCCACTCCCTCTGCATAGATGAACTTATTTACATTTGGCACACCAGGGTACCTCACTCCCAGTCCCGCCCTCTGAGTAAGGCTTCTGATGATATTCTTAGAAGCTTTCGTCAGTTACTGAGAAACGATGGCACAAAAGAAAAGTTCTTTCAATTTTCTGCCCTTCAACCTGGAAACCACGATGCTGCGTTCTCCTCTGAGGTCTCATTCAAAACTCCAAGACAAGACAGGCTGTGATCCGCTGGAGGCGCCCAGCACCGGGCACCGAAACTGAAAGTCTGACGTCTCAGGTAGAGGCATGAGTGCCCTGCTATGATTTGCCAAAAATCAGAAAACGGTCTTGAGGTTTTGTAGGCCAATTTTAGCCTACCTTTGACTTAACGCTAGAAAAATAAACACGCAAAAATTATATCTTAATGGTTTTAAAAGCCAGAAATTGGCAAAGGAACAGACCGTATCTTGGGCAGGTATTAACTTTCTTTTGCCAAAAGCACAAGAAAGACGAAGAGTGCTGACTTTGTTCGGCACTTTAAAAACACTGGTTGATAATTGGCATCATCTTAAGTTTGAGCTCATCTCTTCGCCATGTGTTCTGACTTTGGGTTTTGGGTTCCTATGGACAGAGAGCAAGATTATAATGAATTAGAAATAGAGCACCATGTTCGGTTGAAAGGGGCCCCCTGTTGGATGTGGGGCATTTCGAGGAGGGCCGTGCATCCCCCAGTGTCTGCTCACCACGGGCTCAGTGACAGTGAAGCTCATTTTGCTATTTGTTTTTTTTTTCCTTTTCATCCTTTTAATTTAGTCACTCTTTAATGACTGACATCTGGGAGATGCTGTCCTCTTCATTTCCACCTACCAACTTGGTACCCATGGTAGGACCTAAGTGGTCATCCAGATGCTCTGATCACATTTGATGTCAGGACTGTTTTCCACTCTAGGGCTTACTGAGCTGCATTGCTGTCTTGTCTTCCCTGAGGAGCACTGCTAAGAAGGAAGTCTCACCTTTAGAAAAGCCTGCTATTTAATTATATCCGCACCGCTAAGAGGAGGCGGGAAGCAGGTTTCACATGTCCTTTCGCATGCACACAGTTCAACGGTCCTCAGCAACCGCACATGTTTCGCTGCGTTGGCCCACAAATGTGTCTGATTATTGGCCCATCAATTTCACTCATACCAAATAAAGTAGTTTAGCTTTATTATTTACATGATTCTTAAAGTATGCAGGCCAATGACCACACAAATAAACATGTGCCTTTGGATCTGTATAAAGCCTAGTGTTTATGAACAGGGATCTTTGTGTTCTTAACAATATCTGGCACGTTGAAGGAAAACTCTTTGCGAAAGCATGGAGCCAGGGTAATTGTGTACTTTGTGATCTGTGCTGGGCAGGAACCCCAACTTCTACTTTTCAGGCAGAAGAGTAAAAATATCTGTCACTGAAGTCTGACATTTTCTTTGCATGATTGGGTCTGTTGGTAGATTTCCATCTCACAGTTCTTAAAATCCCAGATTTCCTGTTACCAAGCAATGTGGTTCTGATTACTTTACTGAAATCCCGGCATAATACCTGTGCTCTATACACGCATCTACCACCTACCTCTCATTCCCCGTGTTAACAAGCAATGTTGCCACCCCCCACCACCATTTCCCTGCAGTGGCAGGGAAGATTGACAGTCCTATGAGTTGTGGTGAAGTAGGGAGATCATTGTCTCAAGTACAGTGTCCTTAAGTTGGGAAGAAAATCAGGCTGTGTAGAACTGAATAAGTGCTTTTCTAATGTAGGGCTGTGGCCTCTGTTCTAGGCTTTGAATCTGCCACCAGTAAGTTTAGTTTGAAAGACAATAGAAAGGACATTACAGAAGAGAACTCAACACAACACAGGACGTCTCCATCCTGCCTGATATCAAGGGGTGATGCTGATCCCCAACCCACTTAAGACACAGTCTCCATCACCCCTCTCCTCGTTCCCCCCTGATTTCTTATCCACAGAGAAAACTTAAAGGTGACTGGAGATGGACAGAGTTCATCCTAGCTCTGGTTCTAGCTCCTGCCCGAATCCTCAGATGCTTCTCACAACACTCTGCTCAGCTCCTTTCTGAGACATCAAAAGCCTGACATGATCTAAGCTGTGTCATTTTGACTCAGGTCCGTCCTCATTACTCTTCCTGTTTCATAATGTATTCTGTACACAATGGCTTCTTCCGAGGCCAGTCTGGAAACATTTGTGCCCCCCACCTTTTTTTTTTTTTTTTTACCTTTTCCTGAAATACTTGCTCCATGCCTCATCACATTAGGTATGTCTCAATTGCCCTTTGAGTCCTAGCTGACTCATTGTGTCATCTCAGCAAACCCTTCCTGGTACTTAAAAAAAATCCTTTGGAATTTTCTACTACCCTGTTTCATTTTTTGTTCTTCATGATGTTTATGATTCCTGGCATTGCCTGATTCCTTCAATAGTTTATTTTTATACTTCTATATAAGGTTATGTTTTTCCCAGGAAAAGAATTTTGTAATCCATAGCTTGTATGGATTACACCCACCCAGCAGGCAGATTAGAAACCAAACCTTTGAGTTTATCTAAGTTTTCTAGGGACTAGAAAAGGCCTGTGAAGTTTTCCAGAGTCTCCATTGATCACAGCTAACTCAGGATTCTGTCATCTTTGTTCATTTATTTCCATAAGTGCCTTCATTACTGCCAGAAGCCTGAATATTTAATTTATCTTGTAGCCGAGAGAACCTAAAACATGCTAGGTGTTTAATCAATGCTGACAAAATTATAGTCATTTGATATTTTATTTTCAATAAACTGCAAGTCTCATGCTTATATAGCTAGTAACTCCACTAAAAGAAAAATGCCAGGTTTCTTAACACATAAGAAGAGTTCGAAAAGACATGTTTCAATGCAGCAAGTTTGTTTCCTTGGTGCTTGAGTATGAGGGACCTTCAAACAAAGAGATGCAAATAATACTGGATACTTTTCCAGAAGTCTGTTCCATAACTTCTTCAAAGCATAGCTTCAAGGACATGGTCATAAACTTCCTTTGCAAGGCGGAGAAAGTATTTGGTGACTAGTGCAAAGGAAGGAAGCTCTCCACATTTCCAGCTCTCACCCACCCACTCCCGTCCCTCCTCCTCTCTTGCATCTTTACCTTCTAGTGATTGGCGGTTTGCGTAGGTGTGCTGCTGCTTTTAGTTTTCCTCCCTTCCTCCGTCCCTCCCCCTGTCCCTCCCTCCCTGTCTTCCTGTCCTTCCTTCTAATTTAGTTAGTAATTTCATACACGTATGTAATAATTCTGGTCACAACTTCCCCCATTCTCCCCCTCCCCCACTCTTCTCTTCCTACTAAGTCTTCACCCTATTTTCATGGTTTTTTGTTGTTGTTGTTTGTTTTGCTTTGTGATTTAGTGGATTTAACTAGGGCAGTCAGTGTGGGCACTGCTGTGGCGCTGTCTGCAGGGACATGTGTGACTCAGCGGGCAGCACATCACCAAAGATGATGACTTCCTCTGCCCAGCAGCTCCCCACCTCCAATAGCTTCTCTGTCTGTCTGTCTGTCTGTCTGTCTGTCTGTCTATCGTGTGTGTGTGTGTGTGTGTGTGTGTGTGCGTGTGCAAACTGATATCTTTCCTCAGTAGCTGTCAATGACATTTTTAGGAAAGTCAGGCTATCAGCTGCCTGGAGATTGACAAGGAGACAAGACTGGTTGGCCGTTAAGATTCAAGGATTCTTCTTCAAAGAGTAACACACCTGCCTCCGTTTTCCCGAGTATGTGGGTTTACTGGCTTTTCTTTTGGGGTGAGTTCTGGACATCAAAGTCAGGTTCCCATGTTTGCAAATTAAGACCTTAACTGACTAAGCCCTTTCTAGTCCTTTCTTTTGGAGTGTCTAGAAATTCCAATTTAATTCTAGTTTTCATCATATTGTGTAAAAGTACAAAAAATGCATGAAGAGCTGATGCTGTGAAATCCATGAACTAGAAGGACAACTAGGCAGAGATTGTATCAAGAATTAGGAGATCCTTAGAAGTTATAAAAAGCTTTTATCAAAAAGAGCAAAGGCTGTTGTGAGAAGTAACTTTTTTCCTAGCTAGAAGGAGGGCAGACGACAACTAACGAATCTGCTGAAATATGACAGCGCTGCTACCTCTCCGTCCTGTCTCCAAGGCACCTATGACCTGCACAATGAGAATATTTGAATGCTTGGCTACCAAATAAAATTTAATCGGCAGCTCAAGACTACATTTTCAGTTGTGATGAATAAAATGGGCATTTTTTTCCTTGTCTGGTCTCATGTCTCCATGACACCATTTCTTTTTCCTGAGAAAGATAAAATTCATTATAAATGGGAGTGGGGGCAACTAAAAGAGTCAGCGAGAGCACCAGCTCTAATCCATAGACTGGAAACAAGAGAGCAGGAAGACATGAGCAGAGCCTCAGCCTACTCACTTCATCTGGGGGAAACAGGGAAGGCTGGCGGGTCTACTGGTCTGCTCTGTCTTGTACTCACCATCACAGTCTGATTCTCATTCCCTAAACTTTTAAGCAGAAAGAAAAGAATATCTTTTCCTACCTAGGAGAGTTCCCCAATATAAGGAATGTAGTCCTATATATGATTAATTTCAGAAAAGTGCCTCTTCCAAGGAAACACAAATTCCTATATGAGCAATGGAACTCACTCATGAGATGCTTTCCAGTTTCACTACAGTCATAATAGACAAGGGATTGTGCTTACTATAATTAGTTTAATATCATAAATTTGGAATGTAATAATATGTATCTTGCAGTGTTGCTTTAAATATGATATATTAGTGGCTTTATAGGAAATATGTGATAATTCATAATTTTTTAAAAATTGTAGAGGTATTTAAAACTTGGTCAAATATAATAATTTATCATGTGTTATGCTAAGAAGCATAATTTTTCAAAATATGAAATTATTAGCCCATTTCTAAATTCTGACTCATGATGAAGGAAGCCAGAAAGAGGCCACATTAAGTAAAATTCCTTTTAGAATGTATTTCATTATATTAGCAATAGGTTAAATATAGAACTGAAAATCAATGAGCATACAGTCAGTTAAACATCTAGAAAATAATGAAGTGTGTGAACTGCCAGTCACTGGCTTGATCTTAAATGAAATGGGAAGGAAGAGCCTGTCTCTTTGGAAGAGAAAAATCTTTTACATTTAAAGGTATAAAAATCTATTTAAACTGATTTTAAAAATAGCCTACATGTATAAATTGACTGTAAATAACATCCAAAGCTACTCTGGAAAATTTTTAGCACATATATTTTTTATAATATTAAGAAACTGTAAATTACATGTGCTGTATTTTGTTAATATGTTTTTACTGTCATTTGATATGTGGATGCCAAATTTCAACCTTTTCCTGAATCTGCCAAACTAACTTTTAAGAATCTTTGAGGATTTGCTGAAAGATAGAAATAAATTTTCATGTGTTTTTAATGAAATTGAAAGTAATATATTGTTTTAAAACAAAGCAAACAAGGAAACAAAAACCTCAACTTCTTTTAAAAAAGCGAATACACACGCATGCACACACACACACACACACACACACACACACACAGAGAGAGAGAGAGAGAGAGAGAGAGAGAGAGAGAGATTATTTTTAAGGCTTATATCCAGGAGTAATTGCTACTTTGAAAATGATATACAGATATTTTTCCTATGCAACTAACCACGGGTTCATCCTCTACATTGGATCACTTAGGATGTTTTCAAACTTACTATGCATCCCACGTTGTCAGTGCCAGCACATATATGTTCATATTTTCAGTGTCTCTCATCACAGTCCAACTTCATCCCTATTCCTTTATTTTTACTGCCTTTTTCCCTTTTATACATAGTTTTTACTGCTCTAATTCTCATTTCTATTGAATCCTCTAAGTGTACTTTGTCTGACTGTTTCTATAGCATAATTACAAGTGAGAAAATGACTAAGTTAAAGGGGAACACATTGCAAAGCTTTTTGTGCTGTTATCCACAGACTGTCCTATGTGGCTGCTCCCCACCTGCCCCACGTGTTCCGTGCCATCTTTCTGTTAACACAAAGCACTGTGGTTGTTGTTAGTCTGTGTTTGTTTGCTCACACAAACTTTCCATTCTAGCTTGCATTTTGCTGTTTAATGTTTAAGCATGAATGACTAATTCTCACATGCATATTGACTGTGATTCTGCTTTAGTTGAGCTTCAAGTAATTTTATTTTATTTTATTTTTTACCAGTTAATTTTTTTTTTCTTGGACTGATGCAAAGCAACATCTCATGCTACCATACTAAGGCTGTGGCCAGTTTTTTTGTGAATTTGTGTTTTTAAAATTCCCTTTTAAAACTCATGATGTCCAAAACACTATGTCAAGCATGGCAAAGTTATTGTGAGCAACGAGGGCAGAGTATATAGAAATTAAGGTAAAGAAAGGATTTAAGAAATATTCTCAGTCTCCGCATATACCACTTTGTACAATAGTTAAACCACAAGCAGAAAGAGTAGAATTAGAACTTTAGAAGCTCCTGGTTGCTGACATTCTAAAATACTGGCCAGGCTCTAAAAGATGCCCAGGTCTCCCCCACGGGACTGTGTAGTGTGCCACATACCTTTCCATCCTGAATATTCCCCAGGGACAGGCCAGTAACTTCTCAAGACGTCCCTGTGCTCTAGGTGAGAAATTTTTCCACTTTCACACATGAACTCAGGTTTCTTGGAAGTTCTAATTCAAAGTTCTTTCCTGGTAATTAACTGATGGTGTCAACATTGCCCCTCTTGGCGAAATAGCCTTAAGGTGAAAGAGTGGAGTCCTGGACAGTCTCTCCAAGTCTATGCACAAGAGCAGTCAATCTGGCTTTCAAATTTTCCTAATGGCAAAAAGCCCACATCAGTGTGACTCTGAGTCACTGTCTGAGCTTTAATTTCTTACTGCTCTCTTGTGGCCATTCAAATGAACTGTCCAAAGGCTTCAAAGGGGCTCTAATATTAATAGGACAATCATTTTCCAGGCAGTCATCATTTTGTAATGGAAGCAATTTGTTGTCTTGACATTTGAACATCAAAGTTAGAAAACTATTTCTTTTCTTCTTAGACATTGTGATAGGGTTGACAAATTCAAAAGAAAAGGCTAGGAGTTCTCTCTCTCTCTCTCTCTCTCTCTCTCTCTCTCTCTCTCTCTCTCCCTTTCTTTCTATCCCTATATCCTTCCTTCTTTCTTTCCTTCTTTCTGTCTTCCTTCCTTTCCTTTCTTCTTTTCTAATTTCTTTTCTCATTCTCTTTTGTAAAGTCAACAACATAGTATTTCTCTATGAAGTCATCAAAAGAATGAAGATTGAAACATTTCTGGCCATTCTGAAGATAAAATAATGCAGTTCCCAACTTGCTCCATTGCTGCGGTTTTGGGAGTCTCTGTAGTCTGTGTTTAGTCATCATAATTTGAAACAGCCACTGCTTTATGGAAGAAAGCGTTCACATACAAACTCTGTATTGCGGTGCAAATGTAGCACAGTTAATAAAGGCTCCCTGTCAGGTTTGTGTCCTACCATACTGATGTGTGAATATAGAGGACCCAGGGACTGCAGTCTAAGAAATCTTAAGAGGAGAGAATGTTCGGGAAATCATTCGACTTCAATTTCTGTGGTCATGCCTACTCAAGCCTACTAGGGTTTAATCAGAGTTATTAGCAACTTCATTGTACCTAGCCTGTACATATCACGCAGGTAACTCTTCTACAACGTGAGGTTCATGCTGTTATATAATTTCTAGACACACAGCTGGTCTTCGAGGACTTAGGGTAAAAATCATTCATCCAGTATTTTTAGTAACATCTATGTCTGTGAAATCCTTGTTGCAGCATGGTCTCCTGATGGTACAGTCTCACGGAATTTGCAGTTTATTATGAGACAAACATAATCAAAGAATGACATGAAAAAACATAAAAACATAATCATGTTAAGCATTATAAACAGGAGGGATATAAAACATGCCTGGTCATGAAGATCATATGATGCTTTCCTGAGAATGCAATGCCACAGACAAGAAGCCACAAAGTGTAGGAATAAATGAGACATATACATGGGCCCTGAACTGAGAAGGCTGGTGGGTTTTTATAATATAAAACAATGACCAATGCAAGGAAAAGAGCACATGAGGTACCTTAAAACTGAGACCTGTGTGTCTTTTGAGTTCAACCAGGGAGCTAGCCTATCTTTACTATGAGAGAGTAAAGAAAACATCAATATTCTCTAAGCATAAGACCTCCTTGTGTTTGGAAAGATTGTTCTCCCAGAAGCCAAGACAATGGAATTAAAGAGATCAGAGTGTTGAGAAGTAAGTCTTTTGAAAGTTACAATAGTCCACATGGTAGGTGACAGCCATTCACAAGGTCTGAGGAACATAACTATAAAGGGAGATAGGATATTGACTTCTTAGGACTCGACTATCAGTGCCAACATCACAGAGGGTTATTCTCAGCACATGGGATGCTTATGCTTGCTAGTGCAGAGGTGACCACTTGGAAGAGGAGAGTTGAGCTTAAGAGGCATGTGAGCCATCAAAGTGGGCGCATAAAAATAGAAGCTGTATGTGATGACCAAGATTTCCAAACAAATGACCTGTGATGGAGAAGTGTGAATGGAGTTGGTATTTTAATTCGGCAGGAGCCACAGATACCAGTGAAAAGATTGTGATTAAAGAAGAAAAAAGTTAGCAGTATGCCAAACAAGTAGGGTGCTAACTAAACCTCTAATAGTTGTGTATCTAATATGTTAGTGATTTTCTCAAGTCCTTGGGTATGTTAACTCCTCAAACATTCCCGTGTAGTCTATGATGCAGATACTACTGTTGTACTTTTTTTCCCTGTGAACATCTGCATGTGTTTATATCTATAGCTGTGGGAGAATATGTAGACCCATGTGCATGTGTGTAGATCTACAGTTGTGGGAAGACACATGTACATGTGTGTATGATACAGGGTTCCCCTCTGAATGCTGTGAATGTGTTTTGTCACCATTGGTTAATAAAGAATCTTCATTGGGCCCATGGCAGTGCAGAATAGAGCAAGGTGTGGCTTCCAAGCAGGGATAGAGGAGGAAAGCAGGTGGAGTGGAGGGGATGCCATGTAGCTGCCAAAGGAGACGGATGCCAGAGAATGTTACTGGTAAACTACAAGTCTTATGGCGATACATAGATTAATAGAAATGGGTTAATTTAAGATGTAAGAGTAAGCTAGAAATATGCCTAAGCTATTGGACAAACAGTGCTGTAATTAATTCAGTTTCTGTTTAATTATTTGGGGTCTGGGAGGATGTGCAGACACTTGTATGCACAAGGAAACTGTGGGCTGATGTCAGGAGTCTCCTTCAATCATCCTTTCTTTTGTGTCCAGGCAGGGTTCCTCAATTAAACCCAGGGTTTGTTGTCACAGATAGTCTAGCTATACAGTTTGCTTAAGGACTTTTCTATCCCTGTCTCTTGAGTGCTGGAAGTACAAGCAGAGAGTACAACCACTGGTACTGATGTGGGTTCTTGGCGACGCAAACTTTGAGCATCCGGCTGCTGCTTACAGGACAAGTGCTTTAACTGCTGAGCTATCTCTTGTCCCCTACTACTGGCATCCTTATCACATGAATGAAGCAAGATGATACACATCTTGCTTGAGGTCACACAGACTGTGATGAGGAATATGAGTTTTCCACTCTGTTATACTTACCTGAGATAAGGAACTTAAGAAAAACTATTTGATTTGGCTCATATGTAGGGAATCCCCAGTCTGATCAATGAGGGAGAGAGGAAGAGACCAGATTCACACAACCACCTTTATGCACTATGACTTAGGATAACTCACTAGACCCCACCTCCTAACTCTGCCCCTCTGGAATCATACCTCTGATACACAAGTCTGTGAGGATACCCAGGCTCCAAACCACAGCATCGCATAATCCAACTTCACTTCCAGGCTTTGTTTACCATTATATTGTTACTAGTTCCTGAGGATTCAAAGACAAAGAGAACTTTTTTTTTTAAAGATTTGTTCAAATAGTACTTTTAAAACTTCCAGCAGGCACAGGGCACAGCTTAATTGCAGAGCGCTTTCCTAAGATGCTTGCTTTATTATTTGAGAGTCTCATACAATTACTTTGATCATATCCACCCCCTTCCCTACCCATCCAACTCTGTGTCTTTTCTTTTTCCTTCAAGACTAATGTGTGCTACCCAAATGTTCTCAGGTGTGTGATCTACCACTGGAGTATGGTTGACATACTGGGAGCTTCACTCTTCGCCCCCTCCCACTGCGAGCACCTAACCATTGCCAATAACTCTGTGACTAGGGTGGAATTGTGTGCTTGCCTTTCCACTCCAAGCTGAGATTTGTTCGATATTGGATTGCACAGATTTGTTTTTTTTAATTAATTAATTTATTTATTAAAAATTTCTACCTCCTCCCTGCCTCCCTTTTTCCTCCCCCTCCTCACCTCCCCCTCTCTCTCTAGTCCTAAGAGCAGTCAGGTTTCTATGCCCCGTGGGAAGTCCAAGGTCTTCCCCCCTCCATCCAGGTCTATAAAGGTAAGCATCTAAACAAACCAGGTTTCCACAAAGTCATGCAGTAGAATCGAAACCGAGTGCCATTGTCCTTGACTTCTCAGCCTTCAGTGCCAGTCACATTCAGAGTGTCCAGTTTGATCACATGCTCCATCACTCCCAGTCCAGCTGGCCTAGGTGAGCTCACATTAGATCCGTCCCAGTGTTTCAGTGGGTGGATGCACCCCTCATGGTCCTGACTTCCTTGCTCAAGTTTTTCCTCCTTCTGCTCCTCATTTGGACCTTGGGAGCTAAGTCCAGTGCTCGAATGTGGGTCTCTGTCTCTATCTCCGCCCATCGCCAGATGAAGGTTCTATGGTGATATGCAAGATACCCATACCAGTGTGGGTATGGGACAAGGCCAGTTCAGGCACCCTCTCCTCTGCTGCTCAAGGAACAATCTGGGGACCTCTCCTTGGACCTGAGAACCCCTTTAGAATCAAGTCTCTTACAAACCCTAAAATGGCTCCCTTAATTAAGATATTTATTTCCATGCTCCCATATCCACCCTTCCTCCATCCCATCCATCCCATTCCCCCAAGCTTTCCCCAATCCTCCCCTTCTCCCCTCTCTCTACCCATCTCCCCTTACATCCCCACCCCCGTGCACCTAAGTTTTGCCTGGAAATCTTGTCTACTTCCAATATCCATGAGGATAACTATATGATTTTTTTTTAGGTTCACCTACTTATTTAGCTTCTCTAGGATCACGAATTATAGGCTCAATGTCCTTTAATTATGGCTAGAATCCACTTATGAGTGAGTACATACCATATTCCTCTTTTTGGGTCTGGGTTACCTCACTCAGTAAAGCATTTTCTATTTTCATCCATTTGCATACAAAATTTAAGATGTCATTGTTTTTTACCACTGAGTAAAACTCTAATGTGTATATGTTCCACACCTTCTTTAACCATTCTCCTATTGAGGGACACCTAGGTTGTTTCCAAGTTCTGGCTATTACAAAAAGTGCTGCTATGAACATAGTTGAACAAATGCTTTTGTAGTATGATAGGGCATCTCTTGGGTATATTACCAAGAGTGGAATTGCTGGGTCCTGAGGTAAGTTGACTCCCAGTTTCCTGAGAAACCGCCACACTGATTTCCACAGTGGCTGCACAAGTTTGCATTCCCACCAACAATGGATGAGTGTTCCCCTCACCCCACATCCTCTCCAGAATAGGCTATCATTGGTGTTTTTGAGTTTAGCCATTCTGACAGGTGTAAGATGGTATCTCAAAGTTGTTTTGATTTGCATTT